AGCTAAGGCAAAGTCAAAAGGTTACAGAGAGTAAGGATGGAAGGAGGGCTAGTTTCAAAGGAGTAATCAATGGAGCCTTTTGATGAAATGTATTATTTGAGTAGAAATCTAAATGAAGTGACAAAGTGCATTGGGGTAAGAGGATTTCAGACTGAGAAAATACCAACTGTGAAAGAAATGTTTAAACCAATACTATATTAGTTTCTAATGGGGATCTAACAAATTACCAAATATTTACTGGTTTAAGCATTATAAACATACTATTATTTAGTTCTGGATGTCAGAAGTCCTAAGATGAAGATATTGGTAGGACTATGTCCCTTCTAGAGCCTTTCAGGAACAATCATCACCTTTTCTAGCTAATAGAAGCCATCTACCTTCCTTGGCTCATAGCCTCATTCTCCATCTTGAAAACTAGTAGCACAGTATCTTCTAGTCTCTCCCTCTGCCTCTGACTTTTCTGTTCTTCATCTTATAAGGATCTATATAATTACTCTGAACCCAGCAATAGTATTCATAATTCTCTCCCCATTTCAAGATCATTAACTTCATCATACCTGTAGAATCCTTTTATCCATTCAAGATAACATAATTCCCAGACCTCCTGGATTGGGGTCAGGACATTTTGGGTAGGTGGGCATTATTTCTACTGACACATACGGTTCACAGCATTGATTTCACATTAGCATTGCTGGGGAGCTCTAAATAATTCTGACACTCAGACTATACTTTAGAATCAATAGCATCAGAATTTCTGGGGCTGGGACCTAGATATCTACATTTTTTTAAACCTCTCTGATAATTCCACTGTGCAGCCAAGTCAAGAACCACTGGTTTCCTTTTCTGTTGCAATCTCACACTCTTTCTCTTGCCTCTGTGCATGCAAGGTACAAATGGGGATATCCTCCTTGCAGAGTGACTCTAATGCACATGGAGATGCATCACACAATAGCAAAAGACCCCAATAATTTTTAGTTACTATTACCTATTGACCAGAGTAATATGATGGTACAGAATGCTACAGGGAGAAGTGAAGGAAAAGCAGTTTATTGTACAAACAACTTGCTGCTTACAAAAGAGGATGTTGCTTAGCTCTTCCATTCATTTCTCTCAGCCACTCCAGGAGTGTTGCAGACTAGAGATAGGATGTGATTCATGCTTCTCAAGCTGCTCCTTTTTCTATGTAAGCTTGACCCCTAAATTTATATTGACTTTCTAAAAGTATCTGTGGATCTTTTCTTTTGTTATGACTTCCCACATGAAATTTCTCTCCATTTGTCCAAAAATTTCCATTTGCTCTTCTTTTTCCTCCAGATCCAACTAGTCAACCATTCTCTGAAATATTTCAGGGTGCTCTGATCTCCTGAAGCTCTTGGGTATTTGGCTAAAATGTCATTTGGCCCTTGTTCTGAACTGTTTTTTATTAGTATTTCTCCCTTTATTTAAAATCTTCTTAACTAGTACATAAGCTTTTTAAAATGCTTATTGGTTAAGTATCTTGAACATAGTAGAGGGTCAGTAAATAGTTATTGGTGATTTGAAAATGTCTCTCTTACCTTGGCATTAAACATGAATTCTTTCAAGAAGATTTTTTTGACCACTCATAAAACTGTGTTAAAGACTACTGTTTTATCATCAATTCCACAGAGCAGTGTGACATTAAATCACATTTGTCTGTCTCATGTTAAGTAATAGTTTTGTTCCTTGGTAAGTCCAGCATTTATCACAGGAATGACAAAATAAAAATTCTCTGAATGAGTACATCTGAGCATATGCCAGCCTAGATCCTCAGATTATTTCAAGGTTCCCTCATACTGCAGGCTGCATGCCCCGAAACCTACATATCCCATAGTAACACTGTATGGTTATCTGTGGCGCCTTCTCCCTGCATTTGAAATTGAGGCTTCCCTTTGTCCCAGATGAAGCCCTTTGGTAGATTAACAAAGCTTCAAGAGTCAAATATTATTGGTGAGTTGGTTATCAATGTTTTTAGAGATACCATGGGTCCTAGTAAACATAATACTTGTGGTGTGACCAACACCTTGATAGCTCTCTACATCATTGTCATATATGTACTATTTTCTAACTTAATAGCCTATCACTGAAATATAACCATGGTTGCTTTTGTTGTAATAGATTAATTTTGTTTAGAAATCTTTACTAACAATATTTTCAAGTTTAACACATTAAGAACATTTTGGAAGTCTTTGGAAATGAAATTAAAATGGACATGAACACTGGGATATTTTTGGAATGCATTTCTTTCTGGCACCATCACTCCTTCATGCTCAGTGTTTTAAACTTTTTGCTCCATAGAATGTTATATACAGAGAATGGTTACCCTGTTGCTTATAAAATTAATTTAGATACTGAGATGGTCATAAGTTTTGATAAGAGTACCAAATCTTATCTGTTTGTCTTATCTACCTTATGTCTACTTCTGGACTTTCAGTTTTCATAATCATCATAAATAATGATATTAATGAAGTAGAAATCAACAGAAGAGTCATAGTTCTAAAAGTCATAGAATTGTAATAACTTAGGAAAGGCTAGCTGATCTAGCTTTCTGCTTTGATGACCCAGAGACAGACTGTCAATTGCCTATAGTTTTCAGACACTGAGAGACTACATATGAGGTGGAGGTAGAGACCACAGAAAACCAATTTATTAATTCCAGTAAGAATCATAATGCCTACACCAACCACAAATTCTTCTGTTTGTTATAACAAAGACATAATCTCCTTATACTTAAGTACAGGTGAAACCAACAAATAATTAAAAGTCCCTTTATTAATTTACTGTGACAAATCTCTTTACAAAGACCTGAATATTTCAAGTGTGTTTTGTCTATTCATTTTTTTTTAATATGGGAATCAGAAGTTTGCTTGCAAAAGTGGCAACCAGAACAGCAGGAGTTAAATCTTTCTAATGTTTAGCGGTTGTTACTTGTAATAAAATATCAGTTTGATGAGAGAAATGAGAGAAATGGCACTTCCAATGAGACTAAAACAATTCTAACTCTTAATTCTAACCCTTTATATTCCTCTCCATTTTTGACAGTGTACATGGAATAGATGTCCATGCTAGAATCAAAGGTAGAAAATACTCAAAATATGATGACCCAAACTATTTTTCCCTAAGGCAAAACCTACCGTGCGTGGTAGCTGCCAATATTTCCTCCTCCTTTTCTGATCTTAGCTGATCACCTCTACTGTTAACATTTCTTTTTAATACTTACTAATACATTTGATCAACATAGAGTTAAGTATTGCTGGCCCAGGAGCATTTCTCTAATAGGAGATTTTGTGATTCACATTGAGTTTACATTTAAGCTCTTGGAAAGAAATTCACTTTCCTTGTTTCGGTGTTTTGTTTTTTTTTTTGTTTTTTTTTTGTGTGTGTGTGTGTGTATAGGTTTTTGGAGAGTATGTGGGTCACCCTGGAGTTTTAAGTTTTGTAAAATAAGAAAGTGCTTTTATTTGAGTATATACTCTTCATTAAGTACCATACCAGTTATTTTCATATGGTACATAGTTCATTTTCAAAAATATTGAAGAGATAGATATTATATCTCACCTTGAAAATGAGTAAACTGAGATAGATTAAATCTCACAACTAGTAAATGGCAGAATCAGTGTTTTAACCCATGTTTGTTTGATACTAACGCCCTTAAGTTTTTCTACTGTCTTATTACTTAATAGGATATCTTCAGTATTGGAACACATTTTCCTACTGAAACTTCTAACACTCATAGTAATATTCCTCAACAATGATTAGAAACCTTTCTTTTGGAAATACATCTTAAATTAAAAAATGTGTGTTGTCTATGAAGGAAGTGGTGTGGCAGTCAGGGAATGCTGCTTTTTGCTCATCCCACTGGTCTAGAATAAGAATGGATGATTCTGTAAACACTCTTTATTGAACAAAAAATACAGCATTTTCAAGGTCAGATCAAGTTGTAAATATTGCAGGGGAGTTTTTTTTTTCATCAAATATTTTAACACAATTTCATTTCTATGAAAAATTTTTAATGAAAGGAAAAGGAACTTTCTTTTTAACTAAAAATATTTGCCATGTATTTTTAACGTTTGATGATATTTTGAATCAGCCTCCAATACAAAGAAAATGTTTAAAACTTGCTCAGTTATCTAAGCCTATTTTCATAAAGGCCTTAGCTTATCAAAACAAAACATCCTTCTTTAGATTTTTTGTCTTAAAGAATTCTAAGGGGTAAATAGCTTGGCAAAATCACATCTAAATCATTCATAGAGTTGTGGAAGTAGAATTGAAATCGTTTTATAATCTGATCTTTTTATTACCTTGCAACTTTGATTTCAGAACTAAATGACAAAATTGGGTGATTTGGGGAAGTGAGGCAAAGAAAATTTTCAAATGTTTCAAGATTAACCATGATTCTAAAATTTATTCAATTTTTAAGCTTTCAACAAATATCAAACTTTTCGTCAGTTGCTCTGAGGTTTGCTTATAACCAATATTTCTGCATTTCACAATAATCCTACTTTTAATAAAATGCAAATTTCTTCTAATGACAATCATTTATTTAGTTGGTTTATTTTTGATGAAGGAAATTTTAGTTATTTCCTTCTTTTAAAACTGCCAACAGTATTTGCTATTCATAGATGTTCTGTCTTCAATAAGGTCTATCAAAGTGTAAAACTAGATGGGTATTTTTCTTTCCTTTAAAACGAAATGGTCTTTCATTATGCAGTGTTCTTAGGTGAATTCTCTTGTTTAAGAAGCCAGAATACAAGAGAGTGCTATATTAGTGTATTATTCTCACAACAAACAAGCACTGTTCTGTTGCTACCTGCTTGGCCATTGTTTCTGATTGTGTGTGCTTTGCAGTGGTATTTGGATGGTTTCCTGCTCTCTGCTAGCACAAAAAGGCATTTCTGTTACAATGGCCCCTAACCACACAATGACGGCATTAAGGATTTATGTGGAGGTTTCATTATTTTCTCCTCTTTTGTTCCTTCCAGGATGTCTTCCAAGCGACCAGCCTCTCCGTATGGGGAAGCAGATGGAGAGGTAGCCATGGTGACAAGCAGACAGAAAGTGGAAGAAGAGGAGAGTGACGGGCTCCCAGCCTTTCACCTTCCCTTGCATGTGAGTTTTCCCAACAAGCCTCACTCTGAGGAATTTCAGCCAGTTTCTCTGCTGACGCAAGAGACTTGTGGCCATAGGACTCCCACTTCTCAGCACAATACAATGGTAGGTTTCTCATGGTCTGTTGTGCCTACACTCACTTTGTGACCAGTCTTCTCTAATAGTTTGGCTTCAGTCCTTTGCTTTATAATTATCACCTACTTAATAGCCATGCACAGGATTCACTCCTAGCATCATGGAATTCTATGCAGTTAACTGGTTAACTGGTTCCAGTAGGAAATGTTATTTCATTTTTTTTTGGTTTTGTTTTCAAAATTTTGCTTTTGAGCCATTTACAATTTAATTAAAATAAAAACCACACAAATCATAAAAATAATATTAAAGTAACACATTTAAAATTACCATGAAAGTTAGATGGATTCATTCTAATACAAGTTTTATCTGGATAGAGTTGCAGTGATCATGGCTTGGCCATTTCCACCATGAGAAATCAAGGCTTTTTTCATTTTTTGGCTTTGCCCAGATTTAATTCCAGTATTCCTTATAGAGCCTGGAATTTTGTAGAAGATATATTTCAAAAAGACTACAGTTTTCTAATATGACCACACTAACATTACTTTCTAACTCGACCCCATACATGCCGTTGTTTCCAGAAATCAGCCATTCTCTGTCATATTCTATTCTAGAACATGTGCCTCAGCGTTAATTCCTCTGGGCCTTCACACTATGGTATGGGTCTCCAGATGATCAGGAAACTGGGGCTTCGTGCGCAAGAAGAAAGAAGGCAGTATAGCATGGTTGGTGCAAGCCTGGATAGCACACACAAACACAAATAAGGGTTTTGGATCCTTCTTACCAACTTAAATACAGAAGATCATCACGCTAGCCTGTGAGGTAGCAGGACACTTGGCTGCCAGTAATGCCACCCTCATGTTGTCAACATGGCGCTTGAATGGATGCCACATTTTTGTGACCTTTCCTCTCCTTCATCTTTTCTCCTTCAAGGATGCCAGTGCAGTTAGTTTGAACCTGATTACACCAACAAAAATAGGTTTCATCATACATTCTCATACTTTTAAAGACAGTGCTAATTCTGTTAAATCTTTTTTTCCTCCAGGAAATTATTACATATCATAAATGTATCTGTTCCTGTTACAGAATTACTCTATAGAAAATTAAATCAAGAAAAATCAGATGTCTTCTAAGAGCTGTATGATAAACAGGATACTCTGATTTTCACATTAGATTTAAATAATCTCATTCAACATTTTATGCTTCATAGTTTAAAATTTCTTTGAGTATTTGATTATGTTCCCAGACCCCCCCCCCAACAAGAATTGTTCAGCTAACACATATGTAGCACTTACATAAAGGTGATATTTTAAGTACTGCTTAATAATATAATAACTCAGCCATCACAATAATTCCATCAGGTAATTAATTAATCTTGTTATAATTAATCTTGTAAGACAAGATTAATAATGAAGAAACAAAGGCATGAAGAGGTTAAATAACTGGCTCCAGATCACAGATAATAAGTGGAAGAACTAGGGTTTACTCAGGCAGTCTGGCTTTGGAGTCCATGATTATAAACCTTATGTACCACTGCTTCTTCACAAGAGCACAGGCATGTTTGAGATTCTCATTATCTATAACTTGGCAAATTAAATCACACTCATCATAATTCTTTGTTCTTCCTATCATTATAAGCTTATGTTAGCTACCTGCAACAGCATAACTCTGTATCCTCCTCTCAAAAAGGTGAAACTTAAGGAGAAGTAGGGACAGTGGGTACTACACAGGTCAAAAGGGTCAGGAAGCCAGCCTCTCTCCTTCTGGTATTGTGTCACTTGTCACACCTTTTCCCTCTTAGCATTTTGACCACCACCTGCTCTCTGGGAATAGCCAACTGAGAATGCCTCTGAGATTGGTTTTCCTGTGATAGTACTGTACCTATAATACTGGTTTCAGGGTTGAATATAAATAGTATGGCTAGAATACCAAAAAAAAAAAAAAAAAAAAGATAAAAGAGGAGATGATTTTAAGTACACTCACAAATGGATATGGGAAAAGTTCATTAATTTGCATTATGCAGTGACCTAAGGAGATGCTGTGATGTAGGTAGTTAGTGTACATAAAACCCTTCAGTTTTTAAATGGGAATTTTGTGTAGCTAAATAAAGCTATGCACTGCCCACTTTGTACTAAGTTTTATGTTAGACATTGTAGGAATAGTACTTTCCCTCAATGTAACACAACTCACTCTCCATGTAATGGTGATGTTCTTCATTGGAATCTGTGGATCTCTTGAAAGCAAAGGGAGGACTCTGTGTATGAGCATACTTGAGTCATATTCTGGCTCCCATCAGTCTTTCAAGTACCTCTGTAACCCAGGAAGATTGGGATCTGCTGTTCTGTGTGTTAGAGCAGGGCACACACATGATTCACTGTTGCTGTAGTGACATCAGCACTTACACTTTCTCTTACTGTATATATGATTGGCTTCTGAATTTGTTTCTTCTTCAAATGTTTATTGATTTGAGCTGCTTTTCTTGAGTAGACAGTTGGAAGCATCATCTACATGAACTCAAAATTTCAGCCTTTCTTTCTATTCTTTTTTCCAAATTCCTTGAGGAATGACTTGAATTGTTTACCTCACTTTTGAGACTGTATGTCCTGTTGGTCACAGGATTTAGTCCCCAACTCTTTATCTTAGCAACATTCTCTATAAAGCATCAGTCTCTGGCTTTTGTTTTCTCGGTTACCATGTCTTGCTATGGACCCATCATGCTTTGCTTTCCAAGCATGTTCATGAATATAACAGATGGCCTTTGAATGACAGTTTTATTCTTTCTACCTGGAAAAATCTCTCAAATTTTACCTTTTTAGGGAATCGTGTTTCTCCCACAAGAGTGGGTTCAAAAATTGTCACTTCTTTGATGTTTTCACTGATTTCCCATGGCAGGAAGGGAACTGGCTATTGCATTATTCTTTTATCCATGACATTTTCTTACATCTTTTCTTCTGGTCTGCATTATAATTTATGCATTCACATGTCTGCCTTTCCATATAATGTATTTATTTTTAGAGGCACAGTGTGTTGATATATATTTATATTTCTGGAATCTAGCATATAATAGATACTCAATTTATAATTATTGACTAAATGGCTGAATTGATATGGATGAATAAATAGTAACTGAGTCTTGGAAAAAGTTGTTAAAGACACTAACTCATGGTGACTATAGTTCTAGAAATTTTAGAACTAAAGTAGAATTTACTAATGTAATACATTCAGAAAGCAGAATGTCATGATGTATTCAGCTGTTAAATAGATTAAGATATCTTTTATTCATTTATCAAAATGATTAAATATATTTATAGTATTATTATTCAACATGATCCTTTTTCTTTTTTTCTGGATACTAGGCCATTGTCCTATTTACACAATAGGTTCTTTTATTTCAGTAAGGAAATACATTCTCTATTTTTTTCCTATTCAATATCTTTGAAAACAGAGAATGTTTCATAGTCTTTATATCATAGAGTTCAATTCAAGAAAAAGAGGCATATTTCATTGCCTATTTATGTGTGACATTCATACTCCATTCTTAAATAGAGACAAAAAGATTTTAGAAGGTGTATATTTTGCTTGCCTGAATAGGTTAGAGACAAAGTAAAATCACTGAGTGATTCCTGTGATGCTGGCTTGAGGTTATAGAGAGATGCTTTCAGTATAAAACTTAAATCAGAAAACATTTCCTGAGATAAAAGTTCTGTATACTTAATGACCATAGCCATTTAAAATGTTCCTATCAAGGGTATGCAAGTGTTAAGGTTGAAACTGTGCCAGATAAGGATGTAATTCTGAAATTGTGTTTATTGCCTTAGTATTTTGCAGAAATAAACTCAATGCCTAACTAAGAGTAACTCCCAAACAGCTGTAACCCTTATGAAGACTAAAAGTTCATTCATACTTGGAATGTTTTACTCACTATTCAGAGAGGACTATGAATGAACTGTCTTAGAAGCACATTATATACATACGTTCATCAACTTCCCTCATATTTCTCGTTCATAGGAGATTCAGGCAAAGATTGTTGTAAGTCTATGAAAGAAACTGATTCTGTTAGTTCCTTCAATGAAGCTCTCATAATATTGCCAAGCAATTAATAGTAAGATTTGATTCATGTATACTCTTCTAAAAGTTAAAAGCATTTGTGAAAGTCCGATTCTGAAATGAGCAGAAAGCCTTTTTTATGAGCTTCATTTCTATTGATTAGTTTCTCCTGGTCCCCTTTGTTGTTGATTTATTTAACATGGATTTGGAGATTGTTGCTTCAAGTTTCAGAGGTGAGAATCACTATGATTTTCTGGCTTATTTTCACTAATAGTTCTGATGCAGATGGATTTATTGGATGATGTGAGAAACTGACATCCAGAACATGTCTGCATGTCAGTTAAGGTGAGCATGGATGGGCATTAGAAAAACCTAGAATGAGTCTGGAGAGAATTGAGGCCATGGCATCTAAACAAGCCAGGGGCTCTGTGGAAGCCATTGGTGCTAATTTTCTGTCTGGTTATTGCTACTTCTGTTGGTTAGATTGTCATCCCAGTGTCAAATGTAACATCAAATGAAAGTGTTGACCACTTGTGGTTGCTGAATAATAGGTAATCTTAGGTCACTATTTTATTGAAAAAAGAGCATAATATTTTCATTATAAATATAATTTGAGTAACTTGCCCTAGAGAGCTAAATTTTATTGTAAAATAAATACTACATGTCTATAGTTTTTAATTTTAAATATTTTTTGCAGTGTTTATGATTTAGTCCATACTAGATAAGTACTATGCATACTAGATAAGAACTGTATCACAGAGCTGCACTAGCCACCTTGTTTTGTTTTTGTTTTTGTTTTTGTTTTTTGAGACAAAGCCTCCCTGTGCTGCCCAGGCTGATCTCAAATTCTTGGACTCAAAGAATCCTCCGGCTTTAGCCTCCTCAGGGTCTGGGACTACAGGTGTGTGTCATTGTAACAACTGAGTATATTTTAAAAAGTATATTTAAAGATCTATTGGATTTGGGAGTATAATCTTATTAGTATC